GGGAGATGATAACTCCGAAATTGTAGAAAAAGAATGTAGAGAAACAAATGTAGTTCATGGTGAAGGCTGATGGTGCAGAGGAAAAAATGCAACAAAATAGTCAGTTTTGGTCAAGAGAAATTTTCATCTAATAATGCACCTATATATTTGAGGAGTTCTAAAATCAAGAGGATTGATGTTTCCTTAAAATGAATAATCCCTAATAGTAAAACTATTGGACCCAATCAACTTGACGCAATTCCCATAAAACAATGATTTAGTAAGAGTAGACCCATCTCAGATGCACGTCAGACAACATGATAAGGGAAACCATGCTCGAAGGTTAAGTCTACCCTTTTGGAACCACATATTTCTATTAGTGGACCTTCACACAAAACTGGGCCAACCTTTAACTCCTGCCCAATACAAAAGGGTGTGCCTGGCACTGCTAAATACACCTTCATCGCTTCCATATTAAATTTGGGTTTGGATACCATCACATGATACAATATTCTAGATTATGAATTAACAGCAAGTCTGACAGATAAAATAACCAATGCGTTATGGATGAGGGTGCTACTCAAGAAGAGGAATTTGTTCGTGAAACTCCCATTGAATGGGAGCCAACTGCGTAAATTGTCACATGTTCAGGACTTTCTTTGTCACCTCCATCAACTAAAGTAGTTATGTTAGGTTTCAAAGAAGTCATTATGCTCTCCTAGAATATCTGGGAAGCCTTTAATAGTAAGAGGCTAAAAGACACACGATGGATATGATTATAAAACACTCTCAAATTTTTTAACCGTTATGGAAACACACATTTGTTTTCATTAGACCAAATACTTTTGGGATAGAGCTAGATATGTGAGTGTTCACTACGTGGATGAACATGGCCAATCTGGGGGCATTTGGGTGTTAAAGCATAATGATAGTAGCATTTTAACTTCCACGTATGATGACTTTATAGATACAATTACTATCAAGCTATCATTGGGAACTTCCTCTTGGTATGTAGCTAAAATTTATGTTAGTCCCATGTACACTTCTCTTCTTGACCCGTGGCTCCGCCTTATTGACCTGAGGAACACTGTTGACGGTCCTTGGATGTTGATTAGATACTTTAACAACATCATTCATCCGAGTGAACAAAAAGGAGGTAATTTTAATCACTCTAGGGAACTTGCTTTGCTGAATGTTATTGATAAATGTAATTTAGTTAAAGTAGACATGATTGGTGGGAAATTCACATGGAATATACCTTATACCAGTAATCAAATGCTCTTCGCAAGCTGGATATGGCCCTGGTTTGCGTTGCTTGGCGCATGGGCTTCCCTGATGCATATGTTAAAGTGTTGTGTAAATTTCATTCTAACCACAATCTCATTCCTCTTATAGTCCAAACTGTTTGGGGGAAATCCTCAGATGGCATTATAAGTTGTCTCCAAAATGTGAGACACGATTATACCTTTTTAATAAGGAAACTTTTGGCAATATCAGCAAATAAAAGCATAACATTGAGAAGAGATTCATGGATATCCAACACTCTTTGAAGAGAACAGATTCGACAATACTAATTTATGTTCAATAGGAGCTTCAACAGGAGTATGATAAGATCCTTGCGTAAAGGGAGATTAATTGGTATCAAAAGGTTAGAGATGATAAGATTAAATTAGGAAATCGTAACACCAATTTTTTTGATACCAAAACGGTAACTAGGAAGAAGAGAAATAAATTTCATGGTCTTCATCTTCCCAATGGAGTTTAGTGCAATGATGAAACTATTCTTAGGGAGGAATCATTGACTTTCTTTAAAGGTATTTTTTTGTCCTACATATCTTATACTCCGCGCTAGTATGGGTGACTCAACTATGACTCTAATCCTTTATGAAGAAGCCAAACACTCTTTGACTCAGCAGGTGATGAAGGAAGAGGTTACTTATGCGCTGAATCAAATTCAACCTTTCAAGGCGCCTAACCCTGATGGATTCTAGGGTATTTTCTTTAACAGTTTTGGCATATAGTTGGAGATGATGTTGTCCAACTTATATTAGATGCTTTTGTGACATGTAGCTTTCATTCCTCTCTTTCTAAGACTCTTATCACGTTAACTCTTAAGGTAGACTGCCCTTAAAATTTTAAGAATTTAGACTCATGATCATATTAATTAGGATTTCTTGGAATCTTATTTGAAGCGAAATGGGTTTCCTCCCATAACTATAAAGTTGATCATGCATTGTTTAACTAGCTCCTCTTTGTCTATTATATGGAATGAGAGGCGACTACCAATTTTGTTTCGAATAAAGGATTACGACAAGGTGATCCCCTTTCATCTATCTCCTTGTTATCTATATGGAATTCTTGTCACATACAATCACCAGTGAAGTTAATGAAAGCCATTAGAAACCTGTCAAGTTATCTCGAAATGGACACCCTTTATCGTATTTATTTTTTGTAGATGATGTTCTTTTTTTCGTGAAGGTTTCTAACTCTCAGGCAAGGATCATTTATGGTATCTTGAATCTTTTTTCCATGTTTTCTGGCCTGAAAGTGAATTTTGTTAAATCAAAGGTGCTATTCTCAACTACCACAAAGAGGAGTAAAATGGATCAATTGTCTCCGATATAGGTATCAAGCAAACACTTACACTAGAGAAATACTTGGGTTTCCCTATGTTGCATGGCCGTCTTCAACGCATTGACTTTTTTTTTAAAAGGAAAAATCAATTAGAGGTTAGCGTATTAGCAACTTAAATTGTTAAACAAAGTTGGTCGCTTGACTCTGATTAGGTCTTCTCTAAACTCCATCCCAAATAATAATATGTAATTGGCTTGGTTACCTCAACAACTTGTGATTATATTATTAGGATGACTAGAAATTTTTTGTGGAAAGGTAACTCAAACTCTGGTGTAGATCTCATTAGTTGGAATAAAATCACTAAGCCCAACAAGTTGGGTGGTCTTGGGATCTAGAAAGCAAGAAAAGTCAATACTTTTATGTTTGTAAGCTAGTTTGGGGTATCCATCGGGATTGTGATTCCATATGAGCCCAAGTTTTGAAGCATAAGTACATTAATAAAGAAACATTCCTTAATATGAAAAAGAAACCTGGATAAATTACTTAGAATGCAATTATGAAAGATCTCTTTGCTCTTAAAGATGAATTTGAATTTAGTATGGGGGACGGGAACTCCTCTTTCTGGGTTACTAATTGGTATGGGTAGGGAAATCAGCGGAACAAATTCTCTATGTTGATATCCACGATCTGGAAATGCGAGTGAATGATGTCTACTTGGATGGGTATTGGAACTTTAATTCATTATATACTAATATTCCTCTGAGTGCTTGTGACCGTCTGAAAGAGCTTCCCATTTGTTTGAACTCTATGGTGCCTGGTTGGTTAACTTGGAAAGATAATTTAGATGACATATATACTACTCGAGATGGTTACAATTGGCTTAATAGACTTAAATTTGTTCACAATACAACAAACAATATCTCTTAGAAGTGGGTGTGACATATTCTTGCTCACGAGAAGGTAAAATTATTCCTTTGAACGACTTTACATAAATCCCTACCTACGAGATCGATATTTTGTCATAGTAATATGCTCTAGATGGATCTCCTTCCTAGATGAAATCAGGACGCTGTGACGACTCTGCACTGCCTGAGAGATTGTAAATTTGCTACTCGCTTTTGAAAATCTATTGGTTTCTTAGACCCATTATTCTTCCAAAGGCATAATTTATATGATTGTATTAGACATGACATCGATAGTGCCTATATCTTTTTTGGTTGCTTCCTAGTGGTTGTGGCGTGCTAGGAACAAATTATGTCTTGCTAATGAAGTGGTATCTTCCTATATTTTGAAGTTCATCACAGTGAATTATGCTAATTTGTTAGCTAAATATTTTCTCAAGAATAATCTGTCATATTCAATGAGAACAATCATGTGGAATGCATAGAAAGATAGTAATGTAATTTTGAATGTTGATGACAGTAGTCTCGTTAATCCCGACGTCTCAGGTTTTGATGTATTGATTAGAAATGTTGAAGGTGCTTAAGTTTATAGGTCTGCAGGTAATATTGGCCATTCCAATTAATAACCTTAACGTTGAGTTGATGGCGTTATATCATGGTTTGCATACGAATTGAGAGCATGATATCAAAAACTTGATGTGTTATTCTGAATCCAACTCTACTATCAAACTTATCAAAAATTTGAAAAAAAAAAGATTTTTAGTCCATCTCCAAAAATTTAAAGATTTATCAATAGGATTCATCCCATAATGTTTTAAAATAAATAAATAAATTATCGATTTTTTATATGGTATTTTAATATATTTTTAATAAACTTTTTGAGTCCAACTTGTCTAAACTTTATTATCTCCACCAAAGAAACAGTCATCCATTTCTTTATTTTCACCTAAACTAGTAAAACACAAGATGGAATATACATGAATTTAACATTAGAAAAACTGTCCAAAACCAAGCTCGAATGTGGGCTCATGGTGGGCCAAGAAAAAGCCACATCAAAGTCACAATCACTCTCATTATTTGTCCAATCCATCCAAATTGGTAACTAGCTTCTCACAAACTCTGTAAGCCACGCCATCCAATAATAATTATAATATAACAACAATATCATAAAGGAACCCAAACATGGGCTGTTATCCTCACGCAACATATTATAGAACACACCTTAGAAGAAAACTAAACAAATAAAAGAAATCTATATGCTAAATTAGACACCTTAACTACTTTGAGATAAGAGTTGAATTTAGTTGAAACTATTCAATGATCAAAGGTATAACCCTACTATGAGGAAAAATATTAATACAATCAATGTCCAATACTCTAACATATGTCTTAAAAAAAATCATTCTTTCATATAAAAAACATCACACTTACAATTTCAATCTCAATACAATCTTCTTACAAATAAAGAAGTATATGTATATATTATCAACAGAGATGAATCATCAACATACATATGTATATGCTTCTTCTCAAGAGTGTTGCTAGCTAGTAACGTTTACGAATCATTTGGATGAAAGATAGAGATATTACATTGAGTTGAAAGTAAACATGATTCTGTTCTGTTAATGGAGAAGTTTCATTTTCACTTTTCCTTTCTTTGAACTGATCTTCACATGTAACTGAATCATCCAATGCAGCGCTCAAATTGATATTGGCCGTGTCCAAGTCCTTCGACGTATTCAAAGCAACCATAGCATCATCTAATGATTCAAGGGAATCATTGTAAAGATCAAAACAATCTTTTAAACAAGCCTTCACATATTCACCTTGAGTTTGGTTTTGCAAGTCATGTGAAATTATGGAAATGATGTTTGTTCCATTGGACTTGGTTAGTTGAATTGACATGCTCACAAGGTCTTCTAGTTTTTTTGGATGTAATTTGTTCTTGCGAGCAGATTCATAGAGAGATGTAACACAGAAATTATAGCTCAAGTTCGGGTCATTCTTGGAGGCTTCTCTACAAGATCGAACGATAAGGTTTGAGGCGTTTGAGTACTGAGAAAGAAAGAGAAAAGAAAATAGTATGTATGTGAAGAATCTCATGCTTGAATATGAATTTAGAGTTTATAATCTGATATCGATGGGGCATATCATTTATAGAAGAAGTGTTAGTTTGGTGATTTTGGTGGGAATCTGATACTGCATGATGATTGGTGGATGAAAACTTGCTCTGTCAAAAGGCAAATAGAAACTAAAATTCTGTTTTTTTGTGGTTGCTTTTCTGTTGTGATTTGGTTACTTTTGGTAATATTTTTATTTATGTATATCATGTTAGCTAAAAACCATAAGAAAAATGTCGTGTAACGAAATGATAGATGCGGGCTCTTTACATAAAAGAAAGAGTGTACCTATCAATCTATATAGTGACAATAAAGGGAATTGAGAAGCATCTCACATTCTCAAATAAAAAAATTAAAATTTTTTTTTATAAAAATTATAAGAACAATAAAAAGAAATGAGACTTATACCGAAAGAAATTATCGAATTGAATCATAGACTAGATCATTTTTTTAAGACGTTTTGCAATATTATTCAATGTTGTGCAAAACAGTCACTCAATCACAACGTTTCTAAGATAAAACAATTCATTTTTATATTGTACAATTACTACTTGCACGATATATAATCGATTTATAAATACACTCTCTGATTGTATAAATACCATTCGAATATGGTATAAATGACACTCGTAGTAAATGGTATAAAGATCAATCGTAATAATTTCTCACCCGATAAGAAATCAAATAACTCTCCAAAAAGAATTCAATAATGATCATTTGACCGCTCAAAGATTTATCAAACAACACTCAGAGACTTGCTCCTCCTATAAGCCACTCATTCCATACACTCAGAGACTTGCTAAGTTTAAGACATGGGGTCAATTAAAAAAATTTGTAGAGCTCTTGAAGCAGCTCCACACTACTATTTCCTTTTCGGAGACCATTACACAAATGCCCTTATACGCTAAGTTTCTTAAGGAAATCTTATCCAATAAGAGGAAGATTGACGATGACAGTACCGTGGCGCTCATTAAAGAACGTAGTGCTATTATACAAAACAATATGCCACTAAAACTAAGAATCTAGTGAGTTTTTGTATTTCTGGTGTGATTGGAAAATTTGTCATCAACAAGGCCTTTTGTGGTTTAAGAGTTAGCATAAGCTTGATGCCTATCTCGATTTGTGAGAGGATAAATTTAGGTGAGTTAAAGCCCACTAAAATGTCCTCTAATTGACTGACTGTTCAGTCAAGTATCCCATAGGTATTTTGGAAGATATTCTAGTTAGGATCAACCAACTATGCATCTCTACAAACTTTGTAGTGATGAACATAAAGGAAGACTCTAATATTCCAATCTTGTTAGGAAGACCCTTTTAGCCACCATTGGTGCGATAATTGATGTGGAGAGAGGGAAACTTACTTTTGAGTTCGGTGATAAGAAAATTGAGTTTATTTTTTGAGTTCGGTGATAAGAAAATTGAGTTTATTCTTTACTAGTTTATGAAAGCTCCCACCATTGATAATACATGATGTTTTGTGGACATCATCAATGAATGTTTAAAAGAGTTGTTGTTAGAGGCACAACCCGCTGAAGAGCCGGTTGTACCTTTGAAATCGGACATAGAGGATGTCGAGGCTGAATTATTACTAGATGAAGGACTAGAGGAGTGCCTCGCCCTGACTCACGGTCCGATGCCTGACACAGAGCATCCAAAAGTAGAGCTTAAGGAACTACTCAAAATCCTTATATATGAATTTTTAGATACTGAACTAAATCGCCATGTCATCGTCAAATCTAACCTTGGTAGAGAGGAGACTGATAAGTTACTCGTTGTATTAAAAGGATATCCCACGTCATTAGGATACACCAATTACTACAAAATACTTCTTCGGCAACATAATACTATTACGGTTATGCTTTCCACCGTTGTAATATCGCAAATTGGACGCGCTTGACATATTTTATATATTTTGAAAGTTATTTAATCACGATTGAGATAAACAACCCTGGTGATAAAGGTGCGATAATTGATGTGAAGGGGGGGGGGAACTTACTTTTAAGGTCGGTGACGAGAAAATTGATTTTATTCTTTACTAGTTTATGAAAGTTTCCACCATTGATAATACATGATGTTTTGTGGACATCATCGATAAATGTTTAAAAGAGTTTTCGTTAGAGGCATAACCCGCTGAAGAGCCGGATGTGCCTTCGACATCGGACTTTGAATCTTCATTCTTTATAATCTTCACTATCTTCATTCTTGGTTTCTTCCTCTTCGAAGTACGGTATGTTTCGTGCAAACGTCGCTCTCTTCCTCATCTTCCTAATTCTTGATAATCTTCACTATCTTCATTATTGTTTGATTTTGTGGTATGTTTCGTGCAAAGTTCATATACTTTATATTTTGTTGTTGGATTTAGCAGTGAACAAAAATATTATAACTTTGCTACAATGGATATCCATATGCTTCTAATTTAAAGTTATAGTATTGTTATGAATATGCTTTTGGTTTTCAATATGTTTTAGTTTTTATTCATATTTTCATTGATCAAAAGGAAAGAGTACAAGATTCTTGAATTACTTGATTTTTTCCTCATCGAAACAATACTCTCTAGCACTACAGGAATCTTCCCAATCTACGTCTCGCTTCTCACTACCCTCATCTGAGTTATAGTAAACAATTTTGCTCGACACGTTTTTCTTCTTCTTCTTCTTCAGCATCTTCTTCTTCTTCTTCTTAGTCTTCCTCATCCTCAATGCATCCCTAACACCAGTCGACCCAAATGGTTGGACCTCCTCAGTTGACTGTTGATGGTGTTGTACTATGGTAATGGTTTTTCTCTCAACAGTGACTTCTATTGAGATAATACTCTTAGCCTTCTCAGATAGAGTACTCATGTTGTTATAGGAATTTAAGAATAATAGGTTGAAGATGGGAAAATTCTGTATATGAAAGTGTGCATTTATAGAAGAGGTTGAAGATGAAAAGTCTGGTGATTTAATGCTTGCAATGATTACTTCTGATGATTGATACTCTTGAATGACGTATGACCATCTTGAGAAATGAAGAAAATTTTCAATCATTATAGTCGTTTCTCTCTTTTGGGAAGAACAAAGGTTGTTATTGTTTTTTTCTTCTCAGAATTCAATTTTCCCACATATTTTTCATTTACAAAGATAGTAGTGCATCTGATCTTCATAAATGGTTGTCACGTATGACTAAGTTTAATGTAATTACTTGGAGTGCCTAAGTTTTTTATGTCAATTGTTCTAACACTATATGGTCAACTGTTCTTCAAGGTACACATCTTCCCGATAGTACTAATGAAAAATCAAGCATCTGAAGATGTTATAAACAAGATAAATCTAACCAAATTGTGTTTGTTTTTCAATGTCATATGTAATAAAGTTCTTGATTTCAAAAAAATAGATGAGTTCACTACTACAAAATACACATTCAGTAAGATAATATTACCATGGCCATGACTTCCACCATTGTAAATATGAAACTGGATGTGCCTAATGCTTATTTAATTTTTTGAGTCATTTTATCACGGTTGATAGACACAACTATGGTGATAGAGTGAGTGGTACAAGGTTTGAATCATGGCAACTATATTTTTTCCATTTTTTCTATTAGAAAAAGCGTGTGTCACTTAAATTCATAAATAAATAAAAAATTGAAGATTATTTAATCACGGATTTAATATGCAACCGTTGTAATATCATCTGTACAACCTTTGCTCTTCCCTAAACAGAGAAACGCTCTTCCCAACTATAATGATGATTGAAGATTTCCTTCATTTTTCAAGACGGTCACAATGTCATTCAAGAATATCAACCATTGGAAGTAATCATTGCCAACACTAAATCATTAGCTCTTTCATCTTTAACCACTTCTATAAAGGCACAATTTCATATAACGAATTTCCACTTCTTCAAAATGTTAGAACATAGATTGGTGTTTAATATATCTCATTGTTTTGATGATAACATTAATGAAATTTTGTATAGAGAATTTATAAACTCTAATTTTGTTCAAGTGTTTATTTGTTTCAGATATCAAAATTAATATTATTTTGGAAGCAAGAACGCCTCTGAACACTACAGAATGAACAAGCTCTGAGCGTCAGAAGCAACACATCAGAAGACTCTGATCTGCTACAATGACTCTGAGCGAAGCTGAGAAGAATCTGAGTAAAGAACATACGTAAAGCTTCAGAAGACTCTGGAAGTACTCAACGCTGCAAGTACAGAAGCTCTGATAAGCATGTATGCTCTGATAAAGAATATCACACTTAAAGCACTTTGCTGCAAACTCTGATAGACAAACTCTGATTGAGTTAACTCTGATCTGAAGAACTAGGAACATCATCAGAAGTTCTGATGCAAGATGTTCCAAAGTTGTTGAAGAAGACGTTGTTCAAATAAAGATCTGTTGGTATATTCCTTGTCCTTTTCTAAACGGCTCTTTCCCCATTCGTGCATGCCACAGGATTTCAGACAAAAAGAATTTGTCAGAACATTCCTCTTCTAAGAAAGGAAAAGCCAATAGAAGACAAAAGAAACAGAATGCACAGGTTGCACAGTTTTTGAGAAATGGATTTCAAAGTACTATAAAAGTAAGTCTCAGCATCACTTCAAAGGTTAACGAATTATTGACAAATCAATTGACAAATTATTCAACAAGCAACTCATACAAACTTTCTTCAAACGCTGAATAGTTTTATTTCGTTCTAAAACTTGTGTAAAAATCACTGTTGTGATATAGCTTTTTAGAAGCAAATCTTAAACACATTGTTAGTTTATCTTTTGTAAAAGATTCCTTAAGAGACCAAGTGTGGTCAGAATTCTTGAGAAGACTAAGACAGTTGTCTTAGTGGTTAACACTGTAATCAGTTTGATTTAATGGATTAAGTCCTTGTTGAGAAAGGCAAATCACCTTGGTAGGGTGGACTGGATTAGTTTGAGTTCAAACGAACCAGGATAAAAATACTGTGTTATTTTTCTATCATCCTAATTGTTTTAAAACCCTTATTAA